TTGCAGTCTCTCTCAGCGTTACCATGGCACGGTCTTTATTTCTGTGATGGCACGGCTATGGTAGTCTCTTCTTACCCCCAGTGTTCCCGCTCATGTAAGATAGCTGCCGTCAGACATGTGCATGGATCCGAGTGATGGATCTATGATCTCAGTGGATCTCGAAGCAAAATACAAGTTAGGATCTATGATCCCACCGGATCCGGCGTGAAAAATACAGCTTGGATCTATGATCTCATATGATCTGACGATAAATTAAGAACATGGATCTATGATCTGAGTGGATCCCACCATGCACCACATCTGAAACCATGTTTTAAAGGGTTTTTATGCCAGTAAGTGACACAAACCTATTGATTATGACGTGCGATCACATAAAATCACTAAAACAGAACGCTTGTGAGTTGAAACAAGTGTTTTTTCTTATATATGTGTTGACAAAAAATAAGTGAGGATCTATGATCTCACTGGATCTCAAGCAAAAAATGAGACTCGGATCTGTGATCCCTACGGATCTCTCGATAAATTACAGAGCTGGATCTATGATCCCGTCGGATCCGAGATCAGGATCCGTGGGATCAGATCCCAGATCCATTTTCTCGGATCCATGCACATGTCTGGCTGCCGTGCACAGCGCACATTGCGAGTGGCGGGTACCATCGACGATGGGTCGGTTCCCCAGCTCATTCTCACGAAGCGCCCTGTAGTGGGTGTGGACACGTGAGCCTGTTTCGGATCTCAGGTCTGTATTAGAGAGTCGGCTCGTCTGGAATTAGCACGTCTGAGATGGGATTTAGTCAGGCCTAGGTTGATTGGAGTCGACTGAGAGCCAGTCAGTCAGCTGAGACCGAGTTGGCTGAAGTGGATCGGAAAGGACCAAAGTCGCAGGGACAGGGCTGATTGCATGACGCTCTGACGGAGTCGGGCTGAGGCCAATGACAGGTGGAGTGCGTACAGGCTGGGCTAGCCGAATTGTAGTCGGTTGATGGCGAGAGTCTCGGTCTCTCGGATACCGTGCTTTAGACTCAGCGACAGTCGCCGTCACACCGTGCATTTGTACAGAGATCCGGGCGCGGATGGGACTGTCGGGGACGGGACGCGACAGAGCCACAGTGGTAAATGGGTCGGGAACCAATACATCGTGCTGGCAGTGGTGCTGGAAGTGGTGGCTTCCCCGGGGAAATAGCTGAAAATGACACTGATTATGTCTGGGGATCATGTTAAGAGAGGCAGCCTGCAGGCGTACGATAGAGATGGATGCGTCATGGGAAACCTCTAACTAGTTTACTGGCGCCGAGGTAGACGGAACCAATCCAACCGCACGTGAGAATGGGACGCGGGAGGCTTCGCTGCCTCACCGGCCGCCTTTATTGTCTCGGCCTTGCGACTGGCATGCATGAACAATGAATGCCTGCCACTGAACTCTAATGCCTGCTGAGATCGGTTGGCCGCTGCACTGAATATGTCCACATGACCAATCGTTTGTGATGACCGTCCAGACCCGCCGGTAAGTCGTGACTCGGCCCTGTCTGCTCCCGTGGCCAATCGCGTGCCGGTCGGCTCGTGTTAAGTCGGCCGCAGATGGTTCAGCTCTTGTGTGACATTCGCTCTCTTCTCCATCATTTCTCTGATGTCTGTTCTGGCGCTGGTGAATGGTGAATGGTGACTGGTGACTGGTGACTGGACTCTAGCAGTCACCAAGCACAGCTTGCTGTCCCCCTCCCCACTGTCACCGTTGTTTAGGACTTCCGACGACGTCTGGACGCGACATTCGATCCGCCCATGTCTGAGTCTTATAAGCAGCTGCAGAGCCACGTCACCGAAAACCGACCCGTCTCCATTTCTAAAGCCGCCACCGCCTCCACCCCTCCCCTCCTGTACTCTCCTTGCCCATCTCCCCTCCCCCCCCCGTCGTGGCCAGGAAGTCACCCCTCCTCCATGACACAGCGTAGGAGAGAATCCTACTTACCTCCTATCTCAACCCCTCACGGTTATCTCAACCCCTCACAGTTTACGCTTTTCCTCGGCCCTCCCCGTTGCGTACCTACCATTCACCAGCCCCCATGCTGTGATGAGCCTCCCCCACTCCGCTGGGGGGGGGGGGGGGGGGGGAGGATGGGGCGGTGCCGGCCCTTCGTGCCGTGAGCAGGTGGGTGTGGTCCGCCGCACCATTCCGCCATTGCCTGACACACCAGAGCCGACTCCAATCTCGCTAACTGAGGTCGGGTCGACGGCCGACGGACGGTGTCACCAGCCGGTCGACCCGGCAGGGTAGCGCGGTGACGCTATTGAGTGAGGTACCGGCGCGTTCCTGGTAAAGTGTGAGAGTATTTATAGGTAGGTCAGCCGCAACATCTCTAGCATTTTGTATCCATGTGGGGACGTTATTAGAGTTGTGTGCGAAGTGGATTGAGTCTTGGCCCAGTTGAATAGTATACTTTGGAGTTAACTGAGAAATGAATCATCCGCCTCGTCGTCATTAAAAAACTACCGGAAATTTGGACGTTTACCGGTGAAATGCCTACCGAGCTATTTCCTCCTGTAACATTGCGACATCTTGCTGCTTCCTTAATTTTCCTGAAAATCCCTTTTCCTAATACCCGCTGAGCTGGCCAGTATAACTAATGGAAGAAGATCAAGCAATTAGCTGTCAGCCTAAATGGTCGCCGCTATGTCTGTACTCGAGTCCTATTTTTGTGCTCGAGGCCCTCAGCCCAAATTTTCTGCCTGTTTTTCCCCTATCCCTGTATTTATTTATGTGTGCCCTGCCTCTGTTTCCTGTCGTGTGTTGTTCCTCCCTGCACTGGCGGTCGCAGCCGCTAGCAAAAGGGGGGGCCAAAGTCATACTCGCGGGACATAACATTTATCCGTCATCGGGAGGGGGGGGGGGGGTGATCGGCTATTTTTTTACGTCCACGAGGTGCCGCGCAGTTGGCATTACTTATGCTTCATCCATCTGATTCTTGCGTGAAATCTTTAAGCTCAATTTAAGACAAAATCACCAGTTCCATTTCCCGTCCCACGGTGCTTCCACCGGTCGGCCTAATGCACCATGACGACGGATCGGTGTAGCATAGGTATACTGGAAGGTCAGGCACGCGGATTCATGACCTTACCACTATAAAACAATTCGGAAAAGTACAGATACCTCTTGCTTTGAACAAGCATGTGAAACCCAGAGAGCATTTTCAGACTATGACATTTACCCATATAGGTAACATACCTACATAGTTGTGTGGCGGCGGGAGAGAGTAGGTACACCGACCTCTGGAGACCCCCCACAGGTTCCGAGCTTTCAAAATTGGCATCTGAGGGCCGCGCGCGACTCCTGCGGGGCTTCGCAACGGCTCTATTGGGGGCTGGGGCTTACTCAACCTGCCTAGTCTTACTGCTAAAAAGACTGGCCCTGAGCCATAAGGACTTCATCAGTCTCTGCCAGCCCCAGGACCCATACCGGCTCATGGGGTCCCGACGTCGAAATATGAGGGAATCTGCGCGGGACCATCAGGACGTAAAGTAATCTCGATCAGGACCAACGTAAGGCTGTGCCGGAGATTGCGTGAGCCCTCTGATCTTCAGAAACCCACCCATATATGTTTTCACGTAGAGGCCAGTTTAGGGCCCTCAGAGACCAGTACTGTGCCTGCAAACTATAAAGGCCAGTAGTTTGAGACAATCAGTGACCGAGTTGGGCTCTCAGAGGCTAATGTGGGTCATTACAGGCCAACATGGGCCCTCAGAGGTCAGCGTGGGGCCCTAAAAGACCGACATGAGCCGTCGTTGGACCCTAGAGGCCAGCAGAGGGCCCTCAAAGGCCAAGATGGGCCCTCCTCAGAGGCCAATGCAGGCCCTTAGAGGCCGGCATCGGGTCTTCAGCAGCCAGTGCGGGGCCCTCATTGGCACCTAAAGGTTCGTCTTGGGACACCACAGACAGAAATAAGGCCACCAGAGACCGGTGTGAGACCCTCACACGCCGGTTGGGACCCCTGAGGCCGGTTAGGGGCCCTCATAGGCCAGATGTGGGGTCTCAGAGGTTGATGTAGGCTCTTAGCAGTCAACGTGGGCGCTTGACTGCCACTGAAGTTCCCTCAGAGGTCAGTGTAGGGCGCTCAAAGACCGATGTGGGAGCTATTTTAATAGCTGGGCGTGGGTTTTTTAGCCTCGTGACGATCGAATAATTGCCAGGGCCCCATACACCTATATGGGGGCCCATTGGTTGTTTGAGGGGGCAAATGATATGATGGCCCCCTTTATTGACCTGGGGGGGGGCATGGCCCTGATGCCCCCCCCCCCGCGACCGCCATTGTGTACACATTACACACATGCCTCTGAGATTACATACTAGCTCATGCAAACTCTATGCAGGCCCCGGAGTTCCCACGCTAATCCTTAAGAAACCAAGCCAGCATACGGCGTCACCACCGGGCTTCTGAGGTGCACAGCACCAACCCATGAGGTCTTAATTTCGTGTCTTAGAGCCAATCTCCTTTAGCCAGGGCCCACCCACCACTGCCGAAGAGGGTCTCATGCCAGCCATTGCTGGGCCTACGAGAGCCTCAAGTAAACCCACGCTGATATTCCATATAAGATCCGGCCATACTCGTGAACCGGTGCCAGCGACGCTGACCGCCAAATTGACAGAATGCGAAACTGAGCCCACTCATGAGTAAAATTTACGTCCTTTGATGGCGCAAGAAAGAAAATGAAACATACGAAAAGCTTTTCTAGGACTTTTGTTCGATCTGAAAGGTGGGGCCAAAAGATAGTATGGCCCCACCTTTCAGCACCAAAGGGGGGGCCATGGCCCCCGTGGCCCCCCCCCCCTGGGACCGCCAGTGCCTCCCTGTGTGTCACATACGATCACTGCTGATTGCTGATCCTATTGTTCTTTCTGTCGCCACCATTGACCACCTCTGTGTGTTTGTACAGTGACTGTCGGTATCTGTATGTCAGTACCTCAGTCGCCAGGTCACTAACGACATCTCTGTCTCTGTCTGTTTCAGACGCCCGAGAGCAGGAGAGGCTGGAGCGGCACGCGGCGCTGCGCGAGGCCTGCTCGGCAGGGGACGTGGCCCGCCTGCGGCAGCTCCTCCGACAGCTGGGCCGCGATGCCGCCGCCGTGGTCAACATGACACCAGACGGCTGCAGCACGCTGCTCTACAAGTAGGTGACGGGGCTGGTCGGAGAGGACGGGCTAGTCTCGTCAAACATGCTGTTTAACTCGAGTTTGGTAAATCTGGGGACCAATGGCTGGTCTGTGGAGGAGACGAATTGTGTTGTGTGCAGGGATGCGGAGCCGTGGAAATTTCAGACGGCTCCGGCTCCGGCTCCGGCTCCGGAGAAAAATCGGCTCCGGCTCCGGCTCCGGGTGAAATGTCATGGCGGCTCTGGCTCCGGCTCCGGCTCCGAGTAAAATGATCCGGCTCCGGCGGCTCCGGCTCCGGCTTCTACCCAGTACATCCCCTATGCGATCAATTAAATACGGGTGGAAGAAAAAAGGCGATGGGATTGGTATACGTTGCTTCTGTATTTGTATAACAAGGCTATTTTGAATACCACATTGTTTTATGCCTTGTATAGTCGACTACAGAATGATGTTCCACTCCTCAGAAGCTAGCAGTTGACCGGGGCGCTAAGTTGTGCCGTTTATCACGCAATTAAGCGTGTCGATTGTGAGCAATGGGACAAAGCTATAATTTGTGAACTCAGCCCGTGTGATGCGGCACAGCCTACCACTCCAGGCAAATAATTGCCTGTGAAAAGTGGAACATCATTCTGTAGTTGACTATACTGTCAAACCGAACTAGGTAAATAATTGTTTCCTGTTCTACTGTTATCTATGTTTCCTTTTAAGAAAAGGAGCCGGAGTCGCCCCCTTTTTTGACGGCTCCGGCTCCGGCTCCGGCTCCGGGCTATATTGTTTCACGGCTCCGGCTCCGGCTCCGGGCAAAATATGCCGGCTCCGGCGGCTCCGGCTCCGGCTCCGGCTCCGCATCCCTGGTTGTGTGTCATTGAGATTCCTAATTTTGGTCTGCAGTCGGCACAGACCTCGTCTTTAGATAGCAGGGCTCTTCAGTGTCCAAATAGCTCGGAATAGCTCGGAAATATTTTGAACGAATGGATTGCTTTGTGTCAGTATATCAGTTTTGTCAGTATGAATTAAAACACGGTTTGTTTTGCGTTTGATATTTTACCGAGTGCATTTGTCCTACCTTCCCCTGCCGTGGTCACAGTTCCCCTGCCGCTGCCCATCCTCCCCCTGCCTCCCTCGTCTGACCGCCGCCGTGACCCGCCGCCAGGGCGTCCAGCGAGGGTCTCCGTCCGGTGGTCAAGCTGCTGGTGGAGCACGGCGCGGAGGGCCGGATACACCCGGTCACGCGCTACTCGCCGCTCTACATCGCCGCCTATAACGGAAAGAAGGATGTGGTCGAGCTACTGCTCAAGGTAAAGCCGAGTCGTGGATAAGGGGTGTGTGTGTGTCACTCGCTGGATGTTAGTTCGGTGATATACAATCAGCAGCGTATCCTTAGTTCATAGTGTTCCTTTGGATGGATTTTGTTGACATGGAATTATTAAAATGTCATTGCTGTTGTTTGCATAATTTCGCTATGTAAAGCCCCTCGGAATGACAAAAATGATGAATAACAACGTGCCGCAAGCGCCGTCGGGGACACAGATTCGTTATCTCCTGTGCAGTAGGCGTTTATATAAACCCCAGTCGTGAAGTGAAGACACCAGTGACCAAACTGGTTCCATGCTTTGCGATAGATGCGAGTTGAAGCACGGAAATATATAGCTGGCTCCTGGCTGCTGCGTTGCCTGCTGCATAATGCATGCTCCTTTTATGTAACGAACGGATTGCGAAGGCTGATGTGCATTTGGCATTACCGTATGCCATCATTCTTAAAGCGTTTTAAATTTGACTAGTTTTGCTTTGACTTTGACATGCGCTGGTTAATATTCCATCTTATGGTAGTAAAATGTCTCTTGTTGAGTTTAAAATGGCATGACGAGATGTTTATAGCTGTTGCTGCTGACGTGATCGAAATTGAAAGCGGTGTTCAACTGATCACTGATCGTACGATTGAAGCTATCTTTGAACAATGTTATAAACACATCTCTCTTAACATGCGTCACGTTTTTCGGATGAGTGCTATCCGCGGACCCATACTTTTATTGGCCAATGATGCGATATCGAGCCTCAAAGGGAGCGATACGGTGCTGTCGGCAGTCTTTGTACGCCGCTCGGGATTGTGTTCGCCGTGGAGAGTTTTTGTGTTCCCACGAGTGCTTTTGAAGTAGTTTTACCCACATCACAACCAAACGCGACATTTCATATGCTCCTGTAGTCTCCAGTGTAGACGCCCTCTTAACATGCTGGGAACTTTAATCATCTGCCGCCCTCACGATACCGCAGCAATACCGTGCGGTGTGTGCGACTTTCAGTCAACTTCCTGTCTAGATTCCCGTCCCATTCCGTCGCTGATAAGGTACAATGTCAATAGTCGGACCGTTTCCTTTCCAATGTTGACAGTATGCCGGTCTGTGCTGGTTAGAACTAGAGTGCGCGCTTACAACTCCGACATTGCTGTGGAAAACAACGTGCTTTATGTTTGCATGTGGCGCATCAGACGGTTATCGCAACCACGCCACGAGGTGAAAGCGGCACTTGCTAATCAGCATTGCAGGCCAATGTTGTTTTTGGTGTGGTCACTGTGTCGATTGATGCAGTCCGTATACGCTGCCTGGAGACAGTTGTAAGGATGTACAGTATCTGGTGCAGGTATGTACCAGTCTCCCTCCGTAACCCTGTGACCCCTCTGTCCCCCCAGACGTACCCGTCGCTGGTGCAGGTCCTCACAGTGGAGCGGTGGTCGCCGGTACACGCCTGCTGTATCACCGGCCGGGTGGCCGTGCTCGAGCTGCTGTTCCGGTACCCGTACCCGCCCGAGGTACTGCAGCGGTACCGGGACCACACCGGACAGTACGAGTACTACATGCCGTTCGACGTCAACGCCAGGTGAGATTAGAGGGGGTGATGTCGGTGGCAGAGGGGGTGGGAGGGGAAGGTGAGGGTCCGCACTCCGCAGGTCGGTGGGGTTTGGACCTGCTAGTCGGGAGCCAGGCTTGGAGTCGAGACACGAATCTGGTGGTCGGAGTTTTTGTTATGGGCTTGGCTTTAAGTGCATATTTACGGCATGAATAACAGACTTGTTTTGTTGAAAGAGGTGTGCGGTCACTGCCGTGCATTGTTGAGCAGGTATTGGATTTTATGAGACTTGTCTGTAGATGGATGAACTTTGCTTGCATTCGAGTTATAAGTTTATGTTTAATATATATTTATCATGTACGTGGAGTGCAGGATAAATAAGGGTATCAGTTTACTGGTTATGTAAGCGTATGTCATTCAGGCTATATCCAGTCCATCGGATTTTGCTCCAAAGCGGTCTTGGTGTTTCGCTTTGTGGCCTTATCTGCATCAGAGCTACTTAGATGTGCAATGTGTCTGGGTCTGTACCGCCTGACTCCCCTTGTATTTCATATGATCGTTCACGTATGCTTATCCTCACGGGAATGTGATGCTGTGTTGCATAACATCAGATGGAGTATTGGTCTGATCTGCAGCCGATGACGCGGGGCGAGGCTCTAGCGTCCAAAGATGGGTATTTGTCCTCAGGCTGACGGCTTTCAGATGCTGCATAAATGCATAAGGTTTTTTTTTAAGTCTACATGGATCAGTGTACTGGTTATGTAAGCGTGTCATTCAGGATATATCCAAGGTCGTGTATTATATCTGCACCCGTAAACGGCCAATTCTTATCATCGGAGCTGGAATAGAATTTGCTCGCAATGTGGATAATCTTACTAGTGGAAGGTGTACCTTCTTCTTGACCATGACCAGTCCATCGAATCCCCAATGGCACTGTTGAAGACCTGTGTAGACATATGCTATCTGCAGGGGAAATTCGCACACTGTGGCGAGTACTATACCCCGCACTGACCCCTGTGTCTCGGCGGCGGGCGGTCGGACCCAACGCTGACCGTCCTGCGCTGTTCCAGTGACATGGAGGGCCAGACGGCGCTCTACCAGGCCTGCTGTGTGGGCAGCGTGCGACTGGTGGAGGCGCTCATCAAGTTCAGGGTCAAGGCGTACAAAATCAAGGTCAGTGACCTCTGGGAGGCGTGACACCAGTTGAAGGATTAGACTCAGGGGCATACAGACTATGTATATGGTTTGATTGATATTTCATCTTGTAGCTATTTTGATCTAAATCTATTATAGTCGATTCATGCTACCAGGGTAGTGGGTCTGAAGTAGAGATGTCGATCGGATACCGACTTTTTGGTATACCGATACCAAACCGATACCAACTTGGTATTTGGTATTTCAATCCTAATGTGTTTGGTATTTTGTTGGTATCATGAACCCCCACTAATGTATAAGAGGCTAAGAAATCGGTAAAAAGTTGGTATTTCCTTCATGTTTCCAAGTTGGATTGGTTTCGTCATTGGTTTCGATTGGTTGGATTGGCTTTAAGGTCAGCTGCCTGTATCTTATCTATTTTATCGCTGTTCTTCGATCTATGCCAAACGTATCTACCTCACCTCAGAACCGATAGCTTTGTCATTAATCTGGATCGATAAGGCCTTTATGGTTTGGCAAATACACTTGACGCACTTCAATCGTCCTTGACTACATTAATGAGTCAGAATCTTATCATAATTTCTAGTCTTCGTATCGGCTAACTTCTAGTCTGAAAAAATATAATGCATGAACTTCCAAGGTCCATACCCCAGCACACACTACTCGTGGGTCCGTATTCCTGAATGCTATGCATATATTTTGTGCCCCTTCCATGGTCCATGCCCAGTTCACACTAGACGCGGGTCAGTACTCCTCTACGCTATACATACATAGAATACATGCAGCCTGCTCTGCGTTAGCCGTGCAAGTGTGCTGGCCACCACCCGGTCCGTGCGTGTTGTTTTTCGGAGTCCGGCCCGACTGTGCCGTCTGTTCATTGTCGATCGATGGGTCGTCACTACGTGCCGCCGTGGTGTGGGGGCGTGGTCCGGCCGCAGCTCAGGTCCGATTAGACTGACTAGGGGGACTGGGGAGGGGGTTCAACGAGCCACTGTATGGTACTATGACTGATCCATCTTTAGAGCCAAAATTCTTAAGATATGCAGGGCCCGATGAGCAACACGTCCGTGTGAAACGAACGCTATCTCGGTCTTGTCATGGTGGTGTGCTAGGCTGAGTACTTGACCCCAGGCTTATGATGACATCACGCGTTTTCTCACCTCTGAGCGACTCAGCCAACACTTCACCTGATCATTGACCACTGGGCGTGACGCCTGATACTACCCTTGGCCCCTGGCCACTGACCCTAAATCACTCCTAATGAACATTAACCCTTAAACCCTGACCCATGAACCTTGAACCCTAATTCAAAACCTCTAATCCCTGATCACTGGCGCCTGACATTGACCCTGATCCCGACGTGGCTGACCCCTGACCGGCCCTCTCTGACCCACAGGACGGCAGTCCGGCCGGGGCGGCCGCCGAGGACGCTGCCGACCAGCCAGCCTCACCGGCCGCCGACTCGCAGGTCAAGAGACGCATCTCGGACGGAATCCAGGCGCTCATGTCACGTCTGAACCTGGGCAGAGACGCGCCCGGCGCCGCCAAAACGGACGACACCATCGCGCCGCTGCACCTGGACATGTACTGTAACAATAACGCAGGTGAGACGTGTAACGGCGTCATAACGCATCGATTGTCAGCGCACTGCGCTGTGGTGGCGAATGCTGACTGAGTCCGGGGGCGTATAGTGGAGTGGAGGCGGGCGGGAGCCGAGTTTGCCGAGATTGCCTCAGGCTTAGCGTTCAGAGGTTACACGTTCTCTGTGGGGTATTAGCTCTGTGCCCCCAACTGGGCACGGTCTAAAGGTCACCGGTGATGACGCCGGTCTGGTGCGGTGGCTAGGTGTGTTTTGGGCGGTGGTACTGGTGAAACCTGGCCGGTATCGCCGAGCTGTTTGTAACCATATGAACAAACTGACCACTTCGGGGAAACGGGAATCAAAGCACTATCGGTGTCTCAATGTCGGGATTTTTTGCGCGATGACTGTCTCGGTCGGACCCACTTGTTATCCACTCGTACCGTCCTGTTTTCCCATCGAAGTCGAGTGGCCGAATTTCCGAGTACCTGCCTGCCTGTTGTCACACACACGTTTCCTGCCAGGTGACCTGTTATCTGTTACTCTTCTAGCCTGTCTAGTGCCGTATATTTTCCCGTCCTCTCATGTCTCGGTCGTGACCTCACCGTATATTCCCTTTATTACCGATCCCACGGACATGCTTGTCGGGCCGGTGTTGTCGGGTACCCCGAACCACATTCTTCCCCTTCTGTGTCTTCCCACTCTCTCTCTCTCTCTCTCTCTCTCTCTCTCTCTCTCTCTCTCTCTCTCTCTCTCTCTCTCTCTCTCTCTCTCTCTCTCTCTCTCTCTCTCTCTCTCTCTCTCTCTCTCTCTCTCTCTCTCTCCCCCTCTCCCTCTCCCTCTCCCTCTCCCTCTCCCTCTCCCTCTCCCTCTCCCTCTCCCTCTCCCTCTCTCTGGTCTCATATCCCTCTCTCCCTCTCTCCCTTCCAATCCTCCCTCCCTCTTCCTTGACCTCTCTCCCTCCCCGCCTCCCCTCTAACCGCCCCTCTCCCCCTCTCCCCTACAGAGACGGCTCTTCACGTGGCGGTCCGGTCCCGTCAGCACACCATCGTGGGCTTGCTGCTGGCCGCCGGCGCCAACCCCAACCTCAACATGTACCTGAGCACGGAGCTGAGCGGTGACCAGGAGAGCATGGACCAGTCCATGGTGTTCACTGGTGAGAGATAAATAAAGGGATCGCGCATGAGAGAGTTGTACACCCACTTTTATATCCCCGTATGGTACAAACGTTGCTACGCAATGAGAGAAAGTGGTCCCATGAATGACGTTCATATAAGTAAGCAATCTGGTTTTCTTCAGGTGTTTGATGTTAACTGTTAGCGTTTGTGATATGTGCATACTCCTCTTACTACGTAGATATAGTAAGTACATTCGAAGGCTACACGTTATTTTATCATATTATATTTTACACGTTATTTTTATGTATTACGAATTATAGCCTGCAAATGTAGATTTTGCCGCTGGACGATTCATCAGAGTTCACATTATTCGATCTTTTCCAGCTCTGCAATTGTAGGCCCCTCGCTTCTTTTGATTGAGATTTTTCGGACATGCTGCTGGCCCATCCTTAAATGACCTGATCTGACCTGCCTCTCGTTCCAGGCTCCACGGCGCTGGTGGAGGCGTGCCGTAACCGCGACCTGCAGATGATTGACCTGCTGCTGCGGCACAACGCGCGCGACGACCAATGCAAGGCGCTGTACGTGGCCTGCCGCTCGGGGGACGAGGCGGTCGTGTCGCGCCTTCTGGCGCTGCGGGCGCACGCCGACCCCGACCACAAGGTATGGGGCTGGAGAGGTGTGGTTTCACTGGCAGTGGAGAGGGCTCCGTGGCTCGTATTGGCTGTCGAGTGGCCTGAATGTAGGCATAGCTCATCAGCTCTTCGGCTAGCTGCAAACGTACTTGACGAAACAAGACCAATGTCGTTTTGCAAACTTATGCGTTTTGTAAACGTATTCATTAGCTACCTGCTTCAAAAGCAAACATGGGTTTGGGGATCTGGATTACCTGAGCCATGAATATGGCCACTGAGAAGATCTATGGGATTTTAACCCTTGTTTTGTTACCATGTCCCGCTGACCAGTGTCGTTCCGATATAACACACTCCTCCCGCCCATCAGGTGCACCCGCGTCCGGGCGGCGCCGGTCCCACCTGCTACGTCCCGGTCATGGTCAACTGGCACGGCCAGCGCTGTCTGAAGAACCTGCGCGCCTCCTGGCTAACGGACGCCGCCCAGCGCGTCAACCCCAAGCTGAAGCTGGTCCGACAGCCGGCCGTGGCGCTCTCGTGCATCACACGGCTCGACGTCAGGTAGGCGGGGCTCGCACAGGGACGGATGGGGAGGGTGGAGGGATGTTGACATCAAATAAAAGGGGAAGAACGTTCATCGAAAATGTTCTGGTTGTGAGAGAAATCACGCAAGATCACCCAGCCGGTCAGGCGGAGTCCATACCCCTTGGTACGATCTTACCGTCACCGGCCTTCCATCTGTCTTTCCGCAGTAACAACGCTCTCTCGGAGCTGCCGGAGGCGGTGTTCAAGCTGTGGTCTCTGCGCACACTGTCTGCCGCTCAGAACAAGATCGAACACCTGCGACTGCCGGGGGAGGCCGACCCGCGGCAGACGCTGCCCGTGCTGGAGGAGCTCTACCTGCAGGTGGGGGTACTGACTGACTGACCTCTTACATAGCGGGGCGTGCTGGGGATGTGGGCTCAGGAATACAGTGTCCATGGTCGTCAACGTTGAGTGAACGAATTTTGAGTTAACATTGGGCCGTTTGGGACATAGTTTATTGCCTGTATGACTGTTAGATTGAGCGTGATGGGGTAAATCAAGCGCCGTGCTTGTTTTAAAATACGGTGGTGGTTGGTTCCATACGCATCATGCCTGTGTATGATACCTGTGTTCACTGGTGGTTCAATTTGTAATCCCTGTTCTCGCCGCCTCAGGAGAACCGTCTGGAGAAGGTCCCCGAGTTTCTGTTCCGTCTGCCGCGCCTCTCGCACCTAGACCTGAGCAACAACAAACTGCAGTCGCTGCCGTTCGCCATGTGGAGCGCACCCGGTCTGAAGGAGCTGAACGTGTCGCTCAACCTGCTGTCGGACCTGCCGCTCTCCGGCGGGCCGGAGGTGGCAGCGGCGGCGGGCCGCGCGTCCGCCCGGCTGCCCGGCCAGGGCGCCAGGAACCCGCAGTGAGTGGCGCGGGGGGATTGGTGGACAGGCTGGGTTATCGATATTCTTCTAGTATGCTTTTTGGATGAACAATTATTTTATGGAAATCCTAAATGAAACCGTAACTTGAAACCTTACCATTTACTTATTTGTGTGTCTCATTCGGTTCCCTCTGAAGGTGTTAAGGCATGCGTGGCGCGATGGCATGGCGCTATGAGGCAGTCACTGACTATGCTGCCTGTCCCCCTCTCCCTCCTCGTGCCGCCCCCAGAGTGGTGTCTCTCAGATCTGCCCGAAAGCCGCGCTCCGCCAGTGAGGACCGCACCCGACTCCGGCACTCGGTGGTGAGCATAGATGCAGGGGTAGAGATCAATGTTAGCTGCAGATGATTTTATTACTATACCTAGTCAATTATTTGAAAAAGATGATGAATGAGTCGCGAAAGATGCATCTCACCAAGTAATTATTTAGCTATTTTGCCGGGAGGATGTGATACATGACGTGCCAAGTGCAACTATGAACATTGAACATTGTGTTTAAATACCGGTCTTATTGTGGAACAATTGTGTTTATTTCATGTATAAAATGTGATGAACCATAGCTCAGCCAGTAGGCATTTAACATCCTCTGACTGGTGTCCCTCCGCCGTCAGCCGGTGGCGGGCCGCGGCCAGCGCCACCGCTCCCAGTCCCGCCGCCGTGGCGACCCAGTCGGTCTGTCAGTACTCAGCCAGGGCCGAGCGGCCGCCGCGCCCCTGGTCGACCCGGCCGCCGCCGCTGGGGCCCTTCACCGCAGTCAGATCACGCTCACAGCTACACTGAAGTGAGTCATGAGCTGTCAGCGGTTGATCGTTAGGTTTTTGTGGGAACGGGAAAGGCGGGGTGAGACGTATAACTGATTGTGGCCTAGGGGTCCCGAAGTATTTTTGAGATTGCAGCGTAGCAGTAGTCAATGTCAGCTTACGTTTTCAGTCGAAGAATTGTGTGCTCCGTTAAAAAAACGGGCTTCAAAGCGACCTCGTGTCATTCGAAGATACTCCTTCGTGTGCTCATGGTTTGACAATATTTTGATTATGTAATGCACATCGTGCGTATCACATTTTGCCGGTGTATAATGTATCTGTACGGCTGATTACGCCTATGTTCATTGTTATCCAATATTCTCTGACTTTCTTGCTGCTCAGCTGTGATGTGAATGGAATAATGGATCGTAACTGACTGATCAAATGTCAGATGTGCGGGCATATTCACACGGCCACACCGACTAGACGTGTCCAGACCGAACTGACCGTCTCTGTACAGCAACGGTCCGCTCTGTCCTCTCACCGTCACTGACCCTCCTGTCTACAGACAGCGGCAGGTCCACCACCACACCCTGTGGGAGATCCCCTCTCACCCTTACTGGTCCTCCTGTCTACAGACAGCGGCAGGTACACCACCACACCCTGTGGAGATACCCTCTCACCCTTACTGGTCCTCCTGTCTACAGACAGCGGCAGGTACACCACCACACCCTGTGGAGATACCCTCTCACCCTTACTGGTCCTCCTGTCTACAGACAGCGGCAGGTACACCACCACACCCTGTGGAGATACCCTCTCACCCTTACTGGTCCTCCTGTCTACAGACAGCGGCAGGTACACCACCACACCCTGTGGAGATACCCTCTCACCCTTACTGGTCCTCCTGTCTACAGACAGCGGCAGGTACACCACCACACCCTGTGGAGATCCCCTCTCACCGTCACTGACCCTCCTGTCTACAGACAGCGGCAGGTACACCACCACACCCTGTGGAGATACCCTCTCACCCTTACTGACCCTCCCGTCCACAGACAGCGGCAGGTACACCACCACACCCTGTGGAGATACCCTCTCACCGTCACTGACCCTCCCGTCCACAGACAGCGGCAGGTACACCACCACACCCTGTGGGAGATACCCTCTCACCCTCTCTGACCCTCCTGTCTACAGACAGCGGCAGGTACACCACCACACCCTGTGGGAGATACCCTCTCACCCTTACTGGTCCTCCTGTCTACAGACAGCGGCAGGTACACCACCACACCCTGTGGGAGATACCCTCTCACCCTCTCTGACCCTCCTGTCTACAGACAGCGGCAGGTGCACCACCACACCCTGTGGAGATACCCTCTCACCCTTACTGACCCTCCTGTCTACAGACAGCGGCAGGTACACCACCACACCCTGTGGGAGATACCCTCTCACCCTCTCTGACCCTCCTGTCTACAGACAGCGGCAGGTACACCACCACACCCTGTGGAGATACCCTCTCACCCTTACTGACCCTCCTGTCTACAGACAGCGGCAGGTACACCACCACACCCTGTGGGAGATACCCTCTCACCCTCTCTGACCCTCCTGTCTACAGACAGCGGCAGGTACACCACCACACCCTGTGGAGATACCCTCTCACCCTTACTGACCCTCCTGTCTACAGACAGCGGCAGGTACACCACCACACCCTGTGGAGATACCCTCTCACCCTTACTGGTCCTCCTGTCTACAGACAGCGGCAGGTACACCACCACACCCTGTGGAGATACCCTCTCACCCTTACTGGTCCTCCTGTCTACAGACAGCGGCAGGTACACCACCACACCCTGTGGGAGATACCCTCTCACCGTCACTGACCCTCCCGTCCACAGACAGCGGCAGGTACACCACCACACCCTGTGGAGATACCCTCTCACCCTTACTGGTCCTCCTGTCTACAGACAGCGGCAGGTACACCACCACACCCTGTGGGAGATACCCTCTCACCCTTACTGACCCTCCTGTCTACAGACAGCGGCAGGTACACCACCACACCCTGTGGGAGATACCCTCTCACCCTCTCTGACCCTCCTGTCTACAGACAGCGGCAGGTACACCACCACACCCTGTGGAGATACCCTCTCACCCTTACTGGTCCTCCTGTCTACAGACAGCGGCAGGTACACCACCACACCCTGTGGAGATCCCCTCTCACCGTCACTGACCCTCCCGTCCACAGACAGCGGCAGGTACACCACCACACCCTGTGGGAGATACCCTCTCACCCTCTCTGACCCTCCTGTCTACAGACAGCGGCAGGTACACCACCACACCCTGTGGAGATACCCTCTCACCCTTACTGGTCCTCCTGTCTACAGACAGCGGCAGGTACACCACCACACCCTGTGGGAGATACCCTCTCACCCTTACTGACCCTCCTGTCTACAGACAGCGGCAGGTACACCACCACACCCTGTGGGAGATACCCTCTCACCCTTACTGACCCTCCTGTCTACAGACAGCGGCAGGTACACCACCACACCCTGTGGGAGATACCCTCTCACCCTTACTGACCCTCCTGTCTACAGACAGCGGCAGGTACACCACCACACCCTGTGGGAGATACCCTCTCACCCTTACTGACCCTCCTGTCTACAGACAGCGGCAGGTACACCACCACACCCTGTGGGAGATACCCTCTCACCCTTACTGACCCTCCTGTCTACAGACAGCGGCAGGTACACCACCACACCCTGTGGGAGATACCCTCTCACCCTCTCTGACCCTCCTGTCTACAGACAGCGGCAGGTACACCACCACACCCTGTGGAGATCCCCTCTCACCGTCACTGACCCTCCCGTCCACAGACAGCGGCAGGTACACCACCACACCCTGTGGGAGATACCCTCTCACCCTTACTGGTCCTCCTGTCTACAGACAGCGGCAGGTACACCACCACACCCTGTGGGAGATACCCTCTCACCGTCACTGACCCTCCTGTCTACAGACAGCGGCAGGTACACCACCACACCCTGTGGGAGATACCCTCTCACCCTCTCTGACCCTCCTGTCTACAGACAGCGGCAGGTACACCACCACACCCTGTGGGAGATACCCTCTCACCGTCACTGACCCTCCCGTCCACAGACAGCGGCAGGTACACCACCACACCCTGTGGGAGATACCCTCTCACCCTTACTGGTCCTCCTGTCTACAGACAGCGGCAGGTACACCACCACACCCTGTGGAGATCCCCTCTCACCGTCACTGACCCTCCCGTCTACAGACAGCGGCAGGTACACCACCACACCCTGTGGGAGATACCCTCTCACCCTTACTGGTCCTCCTGTCTACAGACAGCGGCAGGTACACCACCACACCCTGTGGAGATCCCCTCTCACCGTCACTGACCCTCCCGTCTACAGACAGCGGCAGGTACACCACCACACCCTGTGGGAGATACCCTCTCACCCTTACTGGTCCTCCTGTCTACAGACAGCGGCAGGTACACCACCACACCCTGTGGGAGATACCCTCTCACCCTCTCTGACCCTCCCGTCCGCAGACAGCGGCAGGTACACCACCACACCCTGTGGGAGATACCCTCTCACCCTTACTGGTCCTCCTGTCTACAGACAGCGGCAGGTACACCACCACACCCTGTGGGAGATACCCTCTCACCCTCTCTGACCCTCCCGTCCGCAGACAGCGGCAGGTACACCACCACACCCTGTGGGAGATACCCTCTCACCGTCACTGACCCTCCCGTCTACAGACAGCGGCAGGTACACCACCACACCCTGTGGGAGATACCCTCTCACCCTTACTGGTCCTCCTGTCTACAGACAGCGGCAGGTACACCACCACACCCTGTGGAGATACCCTCTCACCGTCACTGACCCTCCCGTCCACAGACAGCGGCAGGTACACCACCACACCCTGTGGGAGATACCCTCTCACCCTTACTGGTCCTCCTGTCTACAGACAGCGGCAGGTACACCACCACACCCTGTGGGAGATACCCTCTCACCGTCACTGACCCTCCCGTCTACAGACAGCGGCAGGTACACCACCACACCCTGTGGAGATCCCCTCTCACCCTCTCTGACCCTCCTGTCTACAGACAGCGGCAGGTACACCACCACACCCTGTGGGAGATACCCTCTCACCCTTACTGGTCCTCCTGTCTACAGACAGCGGCAGGTACACCACCACACCCTGTGGGAGATACCCTCTCACCCTCTCTGACCCTCCTGTCTACAGACAGCGGCAGGTACACCACCACACCCTGTGGAGATACCCTCTCACCCTCTCTGACCCTCCTGTCTACAGACAGCGGCAGGTACACCACCACACCCTGTGGGAGATACCCTCTCACCCTTACTGGTCCTCCTGTCTACAGACAGCGGCAGGTACACCACCACACCCTGTGGGAGATACCCTCTCACCGTCACTGACCCTCCTGTCTACAGACAGCGGCAGGTACACCACCACACCCTGTGGGAGATACCCTCTCACCCTTACTGGTCCTCCTGTCTACAGACAGCGGCAGGTACACCACCACACCCTGTGGGAGATACCCTCTCACCCTCTCTGACCCTCCCGTCCGCAGACAGCGGCAGGTACACCACCACACCCTGTGGAGATACCCTCTCACCGTCACTGACCCTCCCGTCCACAGACAGCGGCAGGTACACCACCACACCCTGTGGGAGATACCCTCTCACCCTCTCTGACCCTCCTGTCTACAGACAGCGGCAGGTACACCACCACACCCTGTGGGAGATACCCTCTCACCCTTACTGGTCCTCCTGTCTACAGACAGCGGCAGGTACACCACCACACCCTGTGGGAGATACCCTCTCACCCTCTCTGACCCTCCCGTCCGCAGACAGCGGCAGGTACACCACCACACCCTGTGGGAGATACCCTCTCACCCTTACTGGTCCTCCTGTCTACAGACAGCGGCAGGTACACCACCACACCCTGTGGAGATCCCCTCTCACCGTCACTGACCCTCCCGTCCACAGACAGCGGCAGGTACACC